ATTAAGTCCAATTTTATTAGTATAATGGGTTTGGTCATGGTTGTTGAGCAGGCTGGGATGCAAATTATTAGGCGAACCAGACAATGGCGTATCGTTGTTCATGATCGAAAAATTTGCTCTTGTACCAGGAGTAACCACAGGTCCAGGATTTAGGCTAACATCACCACTGACTTTTATTTTAGTTAACTGAAACGTTGATTCCGAGTTAGCATAGCGACTCAATCTAACCGTGAAGTAGCCACCAACTTGTACATCAGGAAAGTTATAATAACCCTTGCTAATTCCAATGTAAGCAAACCACAATTTCGACTGTAAACCATTCCAGTGCAGTATTCTTTGAATAGTTTCATTATCAGCTGGACGAGAACCATATAGGCTATCATTTAGCTCAAATTTCAAAGCACTTACAACAAGCCAAGCGATAAATATCAAGACTAAACAGGAGCGTAAATTTACACAACTGCCCGCCATTGTCTTATTGATGATGAGTATCTTGATATTCTATTTCTGTTCAAAACTACACGCGGTTTTATAAAAGCTAAACTGGACATCTCACTGGAACTTAGAAACAACCACATAATGAACTTAAGTATGTATTTATTGCGAAAATTACATTATATAATTAATATTATATATAATGGTATATAATTAATATATTATGTATAATTAATATAAACTCAAATCGCATAAGCACAAACGGGACGCGAAGTCCCATGCAAGGTGCAAACCCCGAAGCAGCGAAATACGTACATAAATACAAATACACACATACATAAAATACAAATATAAAAAGCCGCTTCCCCCTATTAGTATGCACCATGAACACAACCACCTGAATGCTTCACGGATGTGTTAGCATAATAATTTCAAAGTCACAAGCATAATGTGATTGCATTCAGTGAACACAATAAGAGGAACCGTCTGCTAAAACTACTTTAGATCTGTGGCAGGGGCAGTCCCGCACCAGTCTGCAGGTGCAAGGCATGTCCACGTCAAATGTTGCCGTAACCAAGTTAGTGTAAGTGGCTTTAAGAGATCTTTTGAAGATGGAGAGGCTGGCGAAGGTGGTAGAGGGAAGAATTTTGCAGACGTGGTTCCATAACTTGACAAGCCGGTTGAAATATGAGGATTGAAATGTTTTGGATTTACAGAAAGGAATTTTGAGTGTGAGAGAAGGATTTTGACCAAGCCGTGTTCGGCCATTGTTGACAAATGAAACGAAACTATGCACGTCAAGATCAATATGTCCATACAGTGCCTTAAAAAAGAACTCTAAGACCGTTTTATTTCTCTCTCGTTGCTTATATGCAAGTTTTGCGCGCTTGGCTTGCAGTATCCAAGAGGTGGCTCTCCTTTGTACACGTTCCAATGTGGATTCAAATTTTGATGGTAGGTGGAGACCAGACTTCGGTGACGTAACTTATCTGAGACATCACGAGTGCCAACTATAGCGTCCGCCTCACTGCGGTGTTAGACTGTTAGTCACTGGAGGACAAGTTCTTTTAAGCATGCCAAGCATCTTGTTCCCTTTGGCGGTGATGGTATGAACATGATCGTCCCATGAGAGGTTGTAATTTATGAGGACACCAAGATCTTTTTCCTTATTCACACGAGTGAGTTCCTTTGAGCCCATGTGATATGCGTACGTCAGCGGTGTTTTTTTCCCTGTAATTGTCAACACCTTACACTTCGACTCGTTAAAATCGAGGTTGTTGTCACTGCTCCAGCAGTCAAGATCTGTTAAAGCTTGTTGCAAACTTCCACAGTCACCTACTCATGTGATGGACTTGTACAGTTTGGTGTCGTCTGCATACAAAGCTTCCAAAGTCTCGTCAGGTAATATGTCGGGAAGTCCCAACTTAAGATCCCATAACAACATCCTCATCGCATATCATATCCCAAAAGCTAAATATTTGTGCCAACAGAACAGTAATGTGGTCAGAGTGACGGATTTGGAACACTCTTCCCGACCAACTTCGGCTTCCGGATATTTCCTACTGTTAAACATCCCGTTTTATATTAACACATGCACACATTTAAGTACAGTAGATTAAGACACATTTAATAAAATCTCTTTTATACATTGGTACTATGAGCCCGCATTACTGTTCCATGATAAATACTTCTTGTTACATCCTTTCTTCTTTAAAAGGAGATAGAAAACTATACAAACTTTTTTTTACATTTTTTTTTAAATTACAACAATATACACCTAAATGTAGTATTACTAGTTCAAATATTTAAGTTTATTATTTAATCCAGTTCGCATTTCAAAACACAAATGATACAAAGTCTTTCAAATACGCAGGTCTATTTACTAACCGTCCTGAACGTGTTCGTATTTCTACTTTCTGTTCTCTTTGACAATCTATCGCGTGTCTTGACTGCCTTTCTTCTGTCTGGTTCGATTCTCTATCTTCGTCTGTGTGAATTTCTGTTTGAGGTGTCTCATCAACTTCATCTTCGGTACATGCATGTTGTTTTTCTGAGGTGACTTCGATTTCGTCTCAGAACTCGTCCATCTTGTGTTTCAACTTCATATGATCTAATACCAACTTCTGCTTTCACAGTCGCTTTGACTGACGGGCTTTTCTTAAGACCTTGTCCGTGATCTTAAATTCTTACTTTGTCTTCTTTCTTTAAACGAGGTAGATCTTTTGCTCCTCTGTTATAATACTTCCCTTGACGTTCTTGGCCTTTCACAATCTCTTGATGGTGATTCTCTACAACTCTTTGTGCGAAGAACTTTGCTGTCGTTGGGAGCAATGTTTTTGTTCTTCGCGACATTAGTCTTTGTGCTGGGGAACTTTCACTTCCTTGTGTCGGTGTATTTCGATAATCCAGCACCGCTAAATACACATCTGCATTATCTTTCTTCGCATTCTTCATGAGACGTTTCACTGCTTGGACTGCTTTTCTACACGACCATTGCTCTGAGGATGTCTGGAAGAAGATGTAATTCTCTGAAACTTCCAACTCTTGCTGAACTTATGATACTTCTCGGACACGAACTGCGGACCATTGTCGGTCATACACACATCCGGAACTCCGTACCTCGCGAATTGATATTTCATCTTCCGAATCACCGTTTTCGCCTTGACATTCTCTAATCAAAAGAATCAAAAGCGAATAAAAACAAAGAGTTGTCGAATATAAAGACGATCACAGGGCTATTAGAACTGCAAATTCATGAAATCATGTTGGTTTCAATACCTCATGCAGAATCATTGGCAAAATGTTCTCATGTTACAGGAATGTTTATGATCAAAAACGAGTCCATAAAAATATGCGCGGCAAACATGTTGACTGTATGGAAATTTACCCTGCAGTTAAAATACGATAATATACAGATTAAGAATCTATTTTATTGTAATCCCATGTATAAGCTATTTACCGGTTTTCAGGAAATGCCTCGTTTTGGAAAAAATGCATCATGCTGTGTCCATGCCATGAAAGCTCTACTGTTGTGTTTAATTAAAATGTCTCATTTAAAAGAAAATATCAAAGGTCAACTGACAAGACAGCAATACACTAAAAATATATAAACAAACAGCTAAATTTATGCTTACATTCGGATTATAAAGTCGTGGCGTTCCGCGTTCGTATGATACAATTTACTAGCATAAGCAACAACGTCAACAACAAACTGTCGGAAGGACTACATGAGAGGAGATAATCAAATGTTAGAAAAACTTGAATGGACATTCCACAAAATAAGCAAATTTACATTAGAAGATATATATGTACTGTTAAACATAACTTACCTTCGAACGTGGATAAGAAAATCGAATAATATCTTCCGTAAACTTTGCCTCAAAAAACTATACGCTCAGCGACAACGTGCGCGAACTGAAAATACATTGGAATTTGGGAATAAAATAAATTACGCACATTTCTGTTCAGTCGATATGTGAGCAGCGGTAATTGCACGTGCGACTTGATCTAAAAGTGTAATCACCCTTTTCAAAAAGTTTGGCTACATGTTTAAGTTAAAACGTTTTCTCGACGTTGGCGGAAAACGTAAATCTGTGACGCAACAAGAACTTAGTTGCCACGTACCGACCTGTGGATCCATACGTGTTTATTAAAACGTTTTCTCGACGTTGGCGGAAAACGTAAATCTGTAACGCAACAAGAACGTAGTTGCCACGTACTGACCTGTGGACCCATGCGTGTTTAAAACGTTTTCTCGACGTTGGCGGAAAACGTAAATCTGTACTCAATAAGAACGTAGTTGCCACGTACCGACCTGTTGACCCGTACTTGTTTAAAACGTTTTCTCGACGTTGACGGAAAACGCAAATCTCTGCTCAATAATAACGCAGTTGCCACGTACCGACCTGTTGATCCGTACGTGTTTAAAACGTTTTCTCGACGTTGGCAGAAATCGTAAATCTATCACTTTATGAGAACGTAATTACCACGTCAGGATATTCATTTTTTTGTGTCGTGTACGAACAACGTTCTAATTACGTTATTTGAAGGTTAGATCGGACCTAACCAAACCATAACCAATTTAAAACGTTGTGGCGTGCTTACGTACTGTGCTAGCTGGGTCTATATCGAACACTAAGCAGCAAATCTAAAATAAATATAAATGCCTTCATGTATATCACCAGAAAGAAATAAAGCTATCCTTACCATGAATTATTCAAAATATTGTCGATCCGTTGGATCGTGAAAATCCAACATACTGTATATAAATAATCTCGTATTAAACTGAAATCCTGAGAAGAATCACGCGAGCGCAATGCAAAAGAAATAAATTCGAAACAAAATCTAATAAAAACAAAGAGTCGTCGAATGCTCGAGCTGACGACAATTCCGAAAAATCTTCACATCCGCCCGAATGACATGGATTCAGTACTGTTTCCCCAATATAACTCGGCCAGGGACTGGGCACGAAAAAGCAAGAACGTCATGTAACGTCAAGAATAGGGAGTCTATCTGTCAAGAATAGGGAATCCCTATTCTTGAAGTTACATGACGTTCTTGCTTTTTCGTGCCCAGTCCCCGGACGAGTTATATTGGGGAAACATACTCAATCCATGTCAGTCCGTCGGATGTCAAGATTTTTCGGAAATTGTCGTCAGCTCGAGCATTCAACGACTCTTTGTTTTTATTCGATTTTATTTATTTTGTATTGGGCTCGCATTATTCTTCTCAGGATTTAATACAGTTTAATACGATGCAAAGCTTTATTTCTTTCTGGTGATAGACATGAAGGCATTTATATTTAGATTTGCTGTTTAGTGTTCGATATAGAGGTATTGAAACCAACATGATTTCCTGAATTTGCAGTTTTAATAATAGTCCACTGATCGTCTTTATATTTACACAAGGAGTCAAAATGTACTTTTAGTGTCCATAGTAAAATGAACTTTTAGTATCCATATGTCCATTGTCCATTGGTTCCAAGCCTAAATATCAATATCGTCAAACAAATTTTCCCTCAAAGAATTTTCGAAGCGGGCGCTATCGAAGGATTCCGAAACCAAGAACAACCGCAGAAAGTACAGACACAAGAGCAAGCCAAGTCAACCCGATATTCAAAGTGAAACCTTTCCAATCAAAGTCAGAGTTACAGCTGGGAAAAACGAAGTCCTGGGAAGCCTACCTGCAGTTCGTCAACCTCACCTTGGACCAGTTTGGAACCCTCGTTTAGGCGCAATCCAACGGACATGTGATAATCATACCTCTCAGAGAAAGGTAAATTTTAACAATTAACATTAAAACTAGTACAAACTCTCCCCCCCCCCCGATTGGAAAGCGCTGCCTGCCCAACCTTCTCATTTCCAATGTGCGCTCAATTGCCTCTAAGATAGATGAATTAAGTGTCGTTGTTTCCATCAACCAAATCGACATTGTGTGTATTACTGAGACTTGGCTTTCCTCTACAATTCCCGATTCGGCAATATCTCTTCCAAATTGTAATATTATTAGAAATGATCGCTCTTCGTCTTGTGGAGGTGGAGTATGCATTTTTATAAACAACAGTATATATTTCCAACGCCTAACTGCTTTTGAAGATCCTACAGTTGAGTCCTTGTGGCTGCTCGTTAGACCCACATGGCTCCCCCGCTCGACTTCAGTTATACTATTGTTTAAAATCCTTAAATCCCCCTTTGAAACCTGATAAAGTCAAGGTATGGAAGCGGGACCTTAGGGAAAGCTCGTTACAACCTTTTGGCCGCTGGATAACTTCATTTGATTGGTCAGATATTTTTACTACGTACAAGTGCGTGCGAAGATAAATATGGAAAATTTAATGACATAATGCGTGATACGATTGATATTTTACTCCCTTTGAAAAGAACTAAAGTAACTAAATGTGACAAACCATGGCTGACGTCATCAATAAAAGAGTTAATTATAAAACGTCAAAAAGCTCTCCATTATTATGGGAAAAATTCTGATGCGTATAAACTCTGGCGAAACCAAGTCCAGCAATCAATTAAATCGGCCCGATTTAAGTATTATGCCCAATCAGTTGAGAAACTAAAAACTTCCAATCCCTCAAGATGGTGGAAAGAAATTAAGTCGTTGGGTGGTATATCTTCCAAAAGTTGTTGGTATAATCAACTACTTTCTAAGGATATTCCTAATTGACATGACTGTTTGCCATGACAATTAACTGTTTCCTTTCCGGTCTTACATCACATTTTACTCCTTTAACACGCGAGGAAGAACAATTGGATTTCAATGTACCAGGTGAATACCTCATCGACGCTAATAAAGTGTACAATGAACTCCGCAAAATTAAAACCAATAAAAGCCCTGGTCCAGATATGATACCTAACAAAATTTTGAAAGTCTTTGCATATGAACTTGCCCCAGTTATTACGGACATTTACAATTCGTCTATAATTCAGGGCGTGTTTCCGATGAACCTCAAACGGTCTATTGTAGTTCCAATCCCTAAAGTCTCACTACCTCAAAGCGTGGAGAACGATCTAAAACCCATATCATTAATGTCCCAAATTTATAAGGTCATGGAGGGGTTCACCATGACAAAATTATTTGCCCAAATTGAGAGTAAATTGGACACGAAATAGTTTGCGTTACCAGGGAAATCTACGACTCACGCCCTAACATACCTCCTGCACACCATTTTGTCTGCACTTGAGAACACTTTCTGCTCCGCTAGATTGTTTTTTGCAGACTTTAAAAAGGGGTTCGATCTTGTTGATCATAATGTCATAATATGCGAGCTGGAAAATCTCGGTGTACATCCTGCCATAGTGAGGTGGATAAAAGCTTTTATTAGCAACCGTGAACAGTGTGTGCGAATTGAAAACTCATACTCGTCGTGGAAGAAAACAAATGGTGGTCTACCACAAGGAACAAAACTAGGACCGCTACTTTTTGCAGTACTTGTAAATTCTTTGCTCAAGGATTGGCCTGGGAGAGTCAAATTTGTCGATGATACTACGGTCTTGGAAATAATTCCACGATGTTCACCCAGCTTCCTACCAATTATCGTGGACCAAATATCCGATTATGCAAACGAACGAGGAATGAGACTAAATCCAAAGAAATGCAAAGATATGGTTATTACGTTTCTTAAGTATAAACTAGTAGAAAATGACATTTTTATAGGCGGTGATGTGGTGGAGAGAGTCTCCAGTTTTAAACTACTAGGCGTGTGGTTGACTAACAATCTTTCGTGGGATATACACGTGGATAAACTTTTAAAGAAAGCGAATTCACGCATCTATGCTTTACGCCTATTAAAGAAAGCTGGATTGAGCCCTTTAAACATTGTTCATATTTATTGTGCAGTTATAAGATCCCAGTTGGATCACCAGTTTGGTCCACTCTTCCAAAGACATTATCAGACCTTATTGAGTCCGTGCAAAAAAGAGCTTTAAAAATCGCGTATCCCCATCTATCTTATGATGAAGCATTACACAAAAGTAACATTAAACTACTGAGTACAAGAAGAGAAGAAGCATGTAGGAAATTAATTGACTCACTTCGAGACCAAGATTCGCCACACAACCCTTTAACTGCAATAGTTAAATCCGGTCTACCAGACCGAACTCATAATTATGATCTGCGTAATAATAATCCGCAACTCTTACCGATAATGTCTGAACGGTTAAAGAACTTTTTTACCATTAAATATAGTTAACATTTTATGAATACATTTTTATAATAGGTAGTTTAATAGTTAGAGTATATTATCGCAATCTACCCTAATTTAGGATAGAATACATGTTATCATACTATATAACATTGTTAACGTAAATTTTAATATTTAATATTGTAAATATAGTTTCCATGTAATTCAGCTTTAGCTGCAAAATGGATTTTATTTAACTAATAATAATAATAATAATAATAAATAATAATAATAAAAATTGTATGTCGGCTTACATTCATATATTCCCCTGCTCAGAATTTCTTTCTACAGTATTAATCATTACAAATGAATGGTAATCTGAAGCTGACAAAAATGTCAACATAGATTTCGTCTCCTCATCAGCAGATTGTTCAGTCGTTCTGCAATAGGGGTAGTTATGAATGTGCCATTAAAACAATAATCGCGTTGTACTCATGCGCGATTTAATTTCGCGCACCTTGTTCATATTCGCGCAGCTTTAAATTCGGGCAAGAAATTTTCCGTGTTCGTTCTTTTTGGTTTGTTCAATAGAACTATTAACAATTAACGTTTATAACGAGTATTTTTTATCAAAACTTAATCAAAAAGCGATTAGCTGGCCTCAAGAATAGTTTCAAAATTATGTAATAAACTAGTACTAAAACATTTATCGTATGGTTCTCATTTGCCTAATACAATAACAATAATCTTTTATTACCATTCCCATATATTATAGGTTCATAAATGGTATAAAACTACGGTGGCCCACTAGTGCAACGCACAAATATATCTCAAAACACACAAATATATTTAGCTAGAGTTCAAATGGATCCTCTTTTCATTGTCGCTCTTCCAATGCGACGCTCAAACATGATCGTTGCCAACCTTTGGCCACAATGTTTGAGGATCTGTGGCAAAATGCAGGCATTCGTAACGGAATGCTACGTGAACCTGAGAATATCCCAAGTGAAATTGTCCGGCAGGAAGACATTTTTTATTTTTAATATTGACAGGACAACTTAGAACATATATGTCAAATGTGTAGATCTGCGTTAAATCAGGTTAAATAAATCAACTGATTTGCATAATTGCATTACTAACAATCGGTATCTCATATTACATCACAAAGCTTTTCGCGCGGATTATATTTCGCACATTACTAAAATTCGCGCAACCCAGCGCTGCACGAATTCTAGTACTGCTCAAATTTTAATACAAGTAAGGTATATGAAATTGTAGCAACAAGTCATGTTATGCAAGCTTTTAATGATTTGTGTTATTCAAATAGATGCAGGTTTATTAGCATAACATGACCAGTTGCCATGGCTAGCTTGCCACTGAATACTGTGCAATGTCATATTGCCATATACAGTATATCAACAATGATAATATTTAAATGAATCATTGGGCATGTAGAGTTTAGTTTAATAATGGCTAGCTTCACCATTAACAGTATAATTATACATACAAAGGCAAGAAGTTATAAGCATTGAAAGGATTCATATAAAATCCCTCATGCAAAGAAAGTAGAATTAGAATATTTAGCTGACCTTCGACTTTGTGCAAGATGTTTTCCATTCAAATTGCACAGTTTCGGTCTTTTCCTGCATCCTGAACAGGCGTATTAGCAATCTCGTACCCAGAGTATATATGCCCGTTCGCAAGTTAAGTCATGCCCAGCAACTAACCCACAAATGGGCATGCTCTGGGCTGTTTACATGATGGAAGATGGGATGATTTTGATGTAATTAAATAAGTCACTAGGCTAAACGAAAGTTCAAATGCTGGCTAACCGAACTCAAATGTTGTAGAGAAGATCATGTATTTCAAGATTTTTATAGCTTTTTGAACAACCTTTCGTTTACAGTTAACTATAATTCATCTGTAGAAAATAAAGTTTTTCACAAAATCATCGCGCCTTATATCTCGTCCTGGCAAAGCGGTTTAAAGCGGGATCCGTATAAACAGCCCTTATTCTGCAAATTGCGGATGCTCCCTTGCCTTTGATGGCAGCACTTTCCTTGCGATAGTAACTTCTAGTTTAATATTTGATGTAAAGCGCATTTGATCACAGCCTACAATCATGGAAATAATATCTGTAGACCTTTTTAAAACGCACCTTGTCTTACTATCTTGTAAAGCCATTTTATTTTTAGATAATACAAACGTCCATGATCGCTAGAAATAGTAACTCCCCCCTCCCCCTACCACAATGTTGGTTCAAATGGTTATTGGACAACAAGCCAACATTGTAAACGGGGAGGGTGGGGAAATTTTTAAATTTTTGAAAAGTCTGCGAATTAATTTCCGTGATTGTACTAAGCAGCCTCCCACCCCGAAACTTCGAACGAAACCGGTGTCCTTAGAATGAAATTTCGAGCTGCGAGCAGGCTAATTTGATCATATCCACATGTAAATTTGTGCTATAGAAATGGTAATCGGAATCGTACGTGAACGGGTCAAGTCATTGACTGCATGAGATTCTAGTCGCTATTTTTAGCGACTCAACTAGAGTCCCGAGTTAACTGTCCCAATAGCCCGCGTGCAGGCCCAAGGGAAGAATAGTGGGCCTGCATGCA